GTTGTGTTTATTTGTATTCGAGGAAACAGCTGAATATTTTTTACTATATTGTTTAGTAGAGATTGTTGGTCCCAGGGTCTTGTATTACTACTAGACCCTTTACTCAATGATTGTCAGTCACTGTCAACCTACAGCTCGGCCTCCAAAAATAATATTGCCGCCCGCGCCATACCAGTTCATACCAGGGATTAAATACCATGATTGGTTAAGAGCGCTAAGTTGACACTACTCTTGGTATAGTGTGAAGCGGGGCATAGCTCAGCCTTTGTTATCTTATAAGTGAAGACCTGGCTGCAGGCTTCTCTGGTCCGAACGTCTCTAATAAATGGTAACTAAACTGTTTAGTATCGATGTGGGACCCAGAGATCCAGGCATCTGAATTACTTCAATCCATTTTAAGTTTTTCTGGTGCTTCCAGTATTCCTTTTAAGTAAGCATTGACCATGAGGCGACACAGGGCTTGGACCCACTGGAAGGAATTTGGATGGAGAATATTTGGCACTGACGGGGTTAATGTCATGACAATATATTTTGGCCAAAATGTCACACGCTGCGTCCAACTCTCCAGGGGATGGGGCATTTCGGACATATTCTCAGAGGATTATCCATTAAAAACCTCATGGATTAATTGAAATCCAAATTGCAAAATTTAGGCCAAATGTATTTATTTAGAAAAATCCTCCAACTAAGCAGGAAGGAAAACACGTTGTCTGCTTATTAATCTCCTTTCTGACTGGCTGTCTAAACCTAATGGGAGTTGTAAACAATAGTTGGAGATTTACTGATTTCACTGACTGCTGGTAATCGCTCGTCTGTTTTTTATTATTATTATTATTATTATTATTTTTTTATTTTTTTTAAATGGAAACTTTTTTGTTTAAATGTTTACCAAACACCATTTATCCCACACTATACGCATTATGACGTACAAAATGCATTGTTTTGTTCTCAAGAAATATTTAATTAGGACACGAAGAATCACCTATGGGATTTTCTTTTTAACAAAACCCGATTAAATAAATGCTGTAATCAGTAAAGATTTGCTTATGGTTCTTGACTGCACTCTGCGCTTTATATTCACAGATTGCAATTATTTGTTAATGTATTTTTTTCTTCTCCTTAAGCCACTCAGGTACCTATTTTATCTCTCATTCAAGACTGGAGATCACAGCAGACATCCATGTGTTCAAAAGACTAATAATGACCCACAATTATGCCTCGTTCAGAATATTTTTTTATGTATTTTTTTTTTTTAATTTTCATTGCCCCTGTTCTGTGGCAATAGGTTTTAAAAACAGTAAAAGGTTATATTTTTCCTATGGACGTAGGTCCCTAAAAATGGATTGCGCTCGATTTGGTAGTTATTCCCAACAAAAAAAAAGTCAAGAAATTAAACGAAGTGGATTTGTATAAAGCGTTTTAGTAGAACTTCTGTATCTACTATGTACAATGTTCGAGTTCTAGACACAAGGTTACGAAATTAGTTTTCAGTAGTTCACACTCCCCCGGCCTTAATTAAAATTCCCATTATCTGTAAGAGGTGACCTGGTTTTTCTCTATGGACTATCAAAATATTCATTTTAAAACACAATCAGTCGTATTGCAATATAAACATCTGGGAAAAGTTGTACATGGTGCAGCTCGACTGACGAAGACATGGTATCGAGTGAGTGCATGCGTTTCATTCGTAGATTTTGAACATATAGGACGAAGAGTGGAACCAATCCTGACGTCTGTCATTCCTACACCCATAACTGCAATGTCCTGCACCAAGCTAATCTGGGGAGAGATAAGCGATTGGACTGACAGGTCAGTCTGTCAGCTCGGCGCAGTCTATTTAATTTTGATGCAGTTCTGATCTGTATTACAGGCACACTCCAGCCTGGCTTGACCCCTAATTTATTAGCACATTGAGAAAAATTTAAAAAAAAAATTGTATTACTGGTATATTGACCAATAACTGTACCCCACGATTTAACCCTCTCATTACTGACGGGTGTGAGCGGAAACTGCAACTCTGCAAACTGGCACGAAACAAGCCATTAACTTATACTGCCCAATCTGTGCTCTCGATTCTGACAGCAAGAGCTGGAAATTTAAATAAGAATGCTTTGAATTTACTGTACTGATTTGTCAGACTCCGCTCCAACGGCTGTGTTACCTAGCAACACGAGACAATTTAAAGAGACCTGAATTTACCCACAACCAAGTTTATGCCGGCAACGGACGAGACATGCTCACCGGGACCTCCTGGAATAATGGCTGGGATTGGGACCTTAAATATTGTTTATATTATTTTTATATATATATATATAATTATATAGCTAGTCCTGCCGTGTCCAATCTTTTTCAACATACTGACGTACCATCTGGGATACTGCTGTTATAGGCAACAAGGTTTCTTAGGCTACACTTGGGGGTAGTTTAGCTAAATACCCCACTAGCTTTGGGCAGTTTTCTCCTCCTTAGCCTTTTACCCTCTACCCCCCAAATATAGATGGCATATTAGGGCAGTTCTACTAATCTGTTATTTTGCCTTCCTTGCAACCCACTTTCTGGTACAAGCTCCGTATACCCTATATTTACTCCCCCACCTCCGCCATTTGGCTCTCTTTATGTGAAGTACTCATATCCTTTTGTCTTATTATTTGCAAATAAAATTGTGTTTTTATTTTATTTTCTATATTTAGCAAGGACTTTTTTGCGTCCTTTGGACTTTATGTCCATTGGTCATTTCTGTTTTTAGTTTTGAAATTTTAGGGTTATCCCCTTTTTGAGGGTTCTTTCACACACCATTAGTCCCTTATTGGGACTTTGTTTCATTTTGGTTTAATATTTTGTTTCCTCCTTAAAGCAATACTATGCAAGATGGCAGACATATGCCTTTTATAAAATGTAAAACATTTATCAGCATTGCTCCCCTCCCTTCCTATCTACCCATAGGACAGAAAGAGGGTGGTAGCTGCTGCATATCTACCACTGGCTATTTACTAATGTATGCCTTGTAGGGAATCCAAGGTGAATTATTAATTTTAGGCTGAAATAGTGAAATCTGATAAAATTCTCCAATTTACTTGCATTTTCAGATCAACTCGTTTGGAATGGAATTTTAAAGGAACACTATAGTTACCTAAATTACTTTAGCTAAATAAAGCAGTTTTAGTGTATAGATCATTCCCCTGCAATTTCACTGCTCAATTCACTGTCATTTAGGAGTTAAATCACTTTGTTTCTGTTTATGCAGCCCTAGCCACACCTCCCCTGGCTATGATTGACAGAGCCTGCATGAAAAAAAAAACTGGTTTCACTTTCAAACAGATGTAATTTACCTTAAATAATTGTATCTCAATCTCTAAATTGAACTTTAATCACATACAGGAGGCTCTTGCAGGGTCTAGCAAGCTATTAACATAGCAGGGGATAAGACAATTTTAATTAAACAGAACTTGCAATAAAGAAAGCCTAAATAGGGCTCTCTTTACAGGAAGTGTTTATGGAAGGCTGTGCAAGTCACATGCAGGGAGGTGTGACTAGGGTTCATAAACAAAGGGATTTATCTCCTAAATGGCAGAGGATTGAGCAGTGAGGCTGCAGGGGCATGTTTTATACACCAAAACTGCTTCATTAAGCTAAAGTTGTTCAGGTGACTATAGTGTCCCTTTAAATTCACTTCGAATTACTGACAATTCACACTTTGGTGAATATCCAGGACAAAATCCTCCAGTCAGTAACCGGCTGCCTGCAGGTTTATTTCTGATATAAACAGCTTTTTCACACAATGCAAAAATAAAACAAAAACTGTTTGCCCCTTTTAGTTGAAGTTGTGGCCACATTGCTCTGTGTAAGAAATGAGGGAATAGACATGACTGTAACGTTATACATTCATGTATCTGGGAGGTGTGGCTAGGGCTGTACAAACAAAGTGATTTAACTCCTAAACGGCAGAGAATTGAGCTATGAGACTGCAGAGACATGATATATACACCAAAACTACTTCATTAACCTAAACTTGTTTTGGTGACTATGGTGTTCCTTTAATAATTTTTTCCCACCAAATTATATGATATGTAGTGTCTTTATCAGGGGGACGTCACACTAAGCCTCCACCTTCCCTAAGTGTCCATTGGACTTCAAATTAAATATTTTCCTGACATGCTGTGACGCAGTTAACGGCTGGGGTACAGTGTGACACCCCCTCATCTCTATGGGGCATTTTAATAAAATCAGGATAAATCTACCTGGAGAGTCCCTTTAGCGGTACAAGAGTTTTATATAAGATGAATTATTGTTAATAATATTTATAAAGCGCCAACAAATTCCGCAGCGCCGTACAATGGGTATACTAACAGACTTGTATTTGTAACCAGTTGGATGAGTTGGACGCACAGGAACGGAGGATAGAACGTGACACACTGCTGTCTCTTTAAACAATATAATAATAATAATAAAAAAAGCTATTTCAATTTGCCTTAAAATAGGGTTAATTTGTGAGTTTCACTGAGGTACTTGGTTAGCGTCCATGAAGGACTGTCTGATGTCACTTTACGCAGCCGCCATGGTCGCCGCAGTGTCTTGGCGTTTTCGCGAGTTTGTGATTCATTTGGTGAATGGCTGTTAGTTCACAATAAGCAGGGAAGTCCAAGCAGGTGGAGTAAACATTTTTATAGATTTCTCTTTTTTTTACACGTTTAAGAACTTAAACTTAAGAAATTTAAAATCTAAATTTAAATTTCCTTTAATTTGAGAGAGCATTTTTAGTAAATCTTTATCACTGGTCGCAGTGTGATATGTATTTTCCCTGTTAGTACATTCTAACTTGTCATTTTCTTTTAGTAAGATTAATTACAGTATGAACTGGGTGAGTGTGTGGGGAAATTCGGTGCGCGCGGTGACGGGCAGCGAGATATCCAGTGTGTACAGTAAGTGGATGAGTATGGAAAGGCTGCTAGAGGCAGGCAGGGGGGGGCGTGGCCGTGACGTCACGCCCTGCACATGGAGCTGTAGGATCAGAGCTGCTCAGCTCAGACCAGTCTCTGCAGCTGGAGGAGACACACAGCAGCTGGCACTGATCCAAACCCTGCAAAAACTGGAGGAGACACACAGCAATTCCTACTGTTTCAAAGGCTGCAGCAGCTGGAGGAGACACACAGCAGCTCCCACTGATCCAAACCCACCAGAGGCTCCCACTGATCCAAACCCACCAGCAGCTCCCACTGATCCAGACTAGACACACACAGCTCCCACTGATCCAAACCCTGCAGCAGCTGGAGGAGACACAGCTCCCACTGATCCAAACTTACTAACAGCTGGAGGAGACACACAGCTCCCACTGATCCAAACCCACCAGCAGCTCCCACTGATCCAAACCCACCAGCAGCTCCCACTGATCCTATTAATCCTATTAATAGCTGTACTAGACACACACAGCTCCCACTTATCCAAACCCTGCAGCAGCTGGAGGAGACACACAGCTCCCACTGATCCAGACACTGCAGCAGCTGGAGGAGACACACAGCTCCCACTGATCCAAACCTTGCAGCAGCTGGAGGAGACACAGTTCCCACTGATCCAGACCCTGCAGCAGCTGGAGGAGACACAGCTCCCACTGACCCAGACCCTGCAGCAGCAAGCATGGAGAAAATGTCAAGGGTGCTCCCTCTGAATCCAAGTTTTATACCCCCTTCATATGGGGTGCTGAAATCCCTGCTGGAAAACCCCCTGAAACTGCCCCTACACCATGAGGATGGTATGACAGCTGCAATCTTACATAGAATTATATGTAACAGAATATATAGAGCTGGGATATAATGTATCGAAATTATTATATATAATATAATACAATATAGAGCTGGGATATAATATATAGAGCTGGGATATAATGTATAGACATTATTATATATAATACAATATAGAGCTGGCATATAATGTATAGAGCTGTGATATAATGTATAGAAATTGTTACATGTAATACAATATAGAGCTGGAATATAATATATAGAGCTGGGATATAATCAATGTAATTTAATATAATATATTATAGAGATGGGATATAATATATAGAGCTGGAATATAATCAATGTAATTTAATATAATATATTATAGAGATGGGATATAATATATAGAGCTGGAATATAATATATAGAGCTGGGATATACTGTATAGATTTAATATATAAATAATATAATACAATATAGAGCTGGAGTAGAATGTATATATTACTATAGCTAAGAATATAATATAATGAATATAATATATATATAATGTATAGCTAGAATATGATATATATATATATATATAATATGGAATACAGGGCTGGAGTATAATAAATAATATAATATATATAATATAATATAGCTGCTATTTAATATAGTGTATAGATGTAGTATAATATATAGTGTATATGTTAAGTATAATACAATATATGTAATATATAGCTGACGTTTGATATAGAATAAAATTTATATAGTGTTTAGCTGGACTATAATACATACATTCCAATATAAAGACAGGAGGAGAGGAGTGTATAGTGTCCCACTAAGGTAAACTAACAGTTGGAGCTACACTATAGAGAGCGGGGCTTGTCCAGTATTGCAATCTAAAATGACAGTATTATTTATATATGGGACTGAACTGTATAGCCAGGGGAAGGGATTATAGATTATCGATTCACTGTTTATCTGTATCGTATGATTTCCTGCTCTCAATGTGCGTTAGGGGGCATCTTGCGTATTCTTGGGATCTGTTAAGCCGTATATATAGGTTTCGTTTACCAATCTGCCTCCTCCTTCCCCCACGATATGACCCTGTGGTGGTCATTTTATTATTCCTACAATGAGATACTATAACTATCTCATTGTATAGGGCAGGCTGTATGTGTGAAATAATGCACATATGACAATATAACACATAGTGGAGTAATATGTTTATACAGAAGTCTCAGCTGTTTAATGCGATGATGTTAAACAATCTGGACAATCACGAGGGGTCCCGCGCTGCCAAAATTAATCACATTTTCTAGAGAACACAGGTCTTTGTGTCCTGAGACGCCGAGGGCTGTTTGTCGCCAACTCGGTTTGGGATCGGATTTAGGGATGAAAGATTTCCTGGGAAAGGCAGATCTCGTTGACACGTTGTTTAGTTTAGTTTGTCCCTTAATGAGATTACGTTAAAGCTTTCATTATGTGGGCACGTGGTACTCTTCACCCGATAGATGGTCATTGGCTCGGTAAATCGGAGCTTGTGATTAGAATATAATTTACTGACCGCTGTCAGTAGCCCATCGTAGAAAGAAATGATATTGCCAAATTAAGTGACAGCAGTTGGTATGGGACAGAGAACTGCATTTGGCAACATCACCATAGAAACCAGCGAATTTCTCAAAAAGTAGCACTTTACCCTGTTATTACCCACTTTAGCACAGTCTGGCACCTCATAGTTAAAAAGGGCATTATTTACTGAACAGAGAGTCGTGTGGATTTAACAAGTGACTCGGACTGTATTGTAGCACGTTTTGAAGAATTTCTAAATACACAACTTAGAAAGAAATATTGCAAAGATATTGTGTTCCTTCTTAGGTTAAAGACGCCTTCACTGCGCAGCTCACCACATTTAAATGCATGGCTTGGTGAATGACCCCCTTTACCCTGCAGCTCGATGGCATGCCAGACCCCAAAACTCTTGTAAAATGATTACCAGAGTCTAACGTTTAAAACCGTTTTCACTGTATACAGTGTAACATCCATCTGTAAAGCTAACACTCACAGCTGATTGAAGTATTTTAACTGCTATCTGTTTGAACGGTTTAACCCCCCCGTAACGCACAAAGTACTTTAGACATAGCCTCAGTGGGTGCAGCGTGAAGTTATTTACAGTGAGCAGAATTGATTCTCTGTGTGAATACTCGCTGGCAATAGGCCAAATAGACTTTTAAATTGTAAATATGAAGAAAGGGAGGTAAAAATGACATTCAGCGCTACTTTTACAAAACATCGGCAGATTGCAGTAAAATATCCCCGAACGACTGGCTGCAGGCAGCGCATTGTTAGAATCTAAACCTGGGTGCTTATTTACTAAACAGTGAGATCTGGTAGTGATATCAAATCGCAGTTCCAGATTGGCTGCTGGAGCCTAATCCCTGTTTTTAATATATTTGTCTGTTTAGTAGACATGTCCCTGTGGCGGTTTGCTGTACACGCTCCCCCATAAATAGTAAAAATCTATTCCTCCCCTCAGAGAAAACCTCAACGCATTTATAAACAATTAAAGGCGCAGAAATATATGTTAGAAGCGGGCTGCGCACCACGTGTCTAGGGGAAATAAATTGAGTTTTATTTATTTTATCACTCCTGTCTCTTTCGTGTGATTTGTTCATTTTCTGACGGTGAAACTCACAACCTCAGCTGCTGTTTCATTTGGCTCCAGGGGCCGTTTGCAGAAACTGTTAAATGATGAAAAACTAACAGGGTTTATTGAAAGTGAGAATTCAAAGTATATTCAAAGAGAATTTCAAATTTAAGGCCAAGGTAGCTGAACTCAGAGCATAGCTGACTGAGGATTTTTTTCAGTTCGTCTATTGTATCCTTAAATTTGAAATTCACAACAATTCTCACTTAGAACACAATACAACGTTAGCTTAATGAAGCAGTTTAGTGTATAGATCATGCTATACGGAGGGGGAAGCTATAGTGCCAGGAAAACAAGCTTGTTTTCCTGGCACTACAATAGTTTCCCTTTAAAAGGAGGTTAACACTCTTGGATATTAATTATAAAATAGTTTTAATAAGTAAAGTACCCGACTTGGTATAATATAAAACAACACTCTATTTCCATAACAATTTAATCTAAATGAAATTGTTATGATGCCCCCAAGCACACTCTTACCTTAAATTAAGTCTTAAGTTAAACTTGCTTGGAAACTGGTTAAACTCCAAAGGTGCCTCCAGCGCCAATCTCCAAGTCCCCCAGGTGGGATCGGGTTTCAGAATATGAATTACAGGAAGCACAGAGTGCCGCTGGGCAGGGGCGCCGCTGATTAGCTAAAGCGGTTGGCTGACGCTCTAAGCAAAACAGTAGCTGCCCATTCATAAAAAAAGGTACGTAACCGAATCTTTACAGTTTGGCAATTTTAAGCTAAAGTTTAAAATTCAATTTGGAGTCTCCTTAAATTCTCACTTTGGTAAATAATCCTGAGTCTATTTGAGTTAAAATAACAATAAAACTCCAAGACAATCAAATCGAAGCTAAACGTACCATTTCTGGCTCAATTAGATAATTCAATTTTATTTTAATGAGTATTATTTTGTAGCTAATGGGCAGACATGTTTTACTGGAGAGAAACATATTCGTGTTTACCAAGGTAAACTTGGAGCAGTTGGAATTTGAAACACATCTGGAGCAATCACCAGAGACCCCAATGCATCGCTCCAATTACCCAGTCACTTGCATCAAGTATGATTTAATACAAGTGACTCCGGTATAATAACTTCACTTTACCGAACTGTGCCAAATTCTCCACCAAAGTGTAACATTTTTCACTAAGCTACATATTGCATTCAGTATGTCTGTAGGACTTAATGGGGCACTTCAAATACCTAAAGCACTTTAACTTGTTTTTTTCATTTTACAAAAAGTTTAGATTTCTATAGAAATTAGCACTTTTATAAATTAACCTTGTTACACCTCCATGGCTGTCAACCAGATAGCAGGTCCTGTCACTCCCTGGTTAGGTTAGCTCAGTGGAACTAAACTCTAGAGGCAGCAATTACCCAGAGTTCCTGCCGTGTAAAGACCTCTCATTGAGCTGCATTGGGAAGTCTGTGATTGGACAGCCACGGAAAGTCTGGGCGGAGTTAGAAGAGGAGGGCTTGTAAAAGCTGCAGACAATAGATTTGCAGTTTTCACAAGCTGTTTTTAGATATACTCTTGATGAAAAAATGCACAATTATATGCAAACATATTTTCATTGGGGATATATCTACTAAATTGTAAAAAACTAACATTTTTTTCCATTGTTCATTTTAGTTGCTTTCAATCAGTTTGATTTTTTTAGAAATGACTGGTCTTGTTTTTTCCACAGCCTTCTTTAAAGAAAAGGACAAAGAGAAGAAGTTGGAGGATGAAACCACAGGATCCACTGTCCCGCAATCAGCTTTCTTGGGGCCAACTCTCTGGGATAAGACCCTGCCGTACGATGGCGACACCTTTCAGTTGGAATACATGGACTTGGAAGAATTCCTGTCTGAGAACGGTATCCCTCCCAGCCAGTCCCCACATGAAATCAGCCACCATCAGCCTACACTATCACAAGCTCCTGTGCCCACCCCTTCCATCATTGACCTCAGTAGCCGAGCGTCCACATCTGTTATACCAGGCTTGGTAGCTCCAAACTGCATGCACAGCCCAGTGACACCTGGTAAGTTCTGACAATAATTGATAAATTAACACGCACACTCTCTCCCTATCTCTCTCAATGTCCACCCACCAGTTTGTACTTCTTGTACTCCTTTAGTGAGTTTGAAATGAGGGCAGTATAAGGTACGGTGATGGACTGCACTAAAATATTGTCTGCCGACCTGTGCGGTCGGACAGCCTCTGCCGATCTGTGCGGTCGGACAGCCTCTGCCGATCTGTGCGGTCAGACAGCCTCTGACAATTAGTGAGGACAGGACTCTATCAGGCTTTTGCAAATCAGAGAGCCTCTCTCAGCCTCTCTTAGGAATCTCTTGGGCAGAATTTGAATCTAGCCAATCTACAGAAAAGAAAGGAATGGCCCCTAATATTTGCCAAGTTACAGACACAGGAACATATTAAAAAGTTGCAGAAAGCTGGTGGATAAATGTCCTCCTTTGTTTTGCTCGTCCTTTAAGTCCTTGCATATCTGTGGAAGTGCGTGAGGTAATTATTTGCGCTCTCTACTCTTATAGGATCATTTCAGAGAGCTGGAGAGACCAGGATTAGTATACTGGGTTAAACTCTCCGTTTTAGCGTGAGGTGGCATTCCAGCAGATGAATTTATCTCAAGGCCACCTGTAACCATGGATAAAATATATGGACGTGTGAGCTCACCGCGTGATGCAGCAGTGCTGGTTGTTGTTTATATGTTGTATCTTAACAATGACAATAATCCGAGCGGTCGAGGCATTGAGTTTATTTTAAGGCAGCCCTTACAAGATGCTGTGAGGATGACTTTACTTTCTCTGTATTGAAGTGGAACGAATGATCATAGAACACGATGAGTGGGCAAAATATCGATAGCTGAAAGTGCCAGGTCCAGTTACTACTTAGTGGACTGACGATGATATGGAGGGGCGGGAGAAGGTACTTACTCTGGTTGATATGCAGCAGTCATAAAAATTATTTGAATAATTAATACAGTTATGCAAATTGCTGCTTAGTTAACCAGAATAATCAACAGAACTGACGCGAGTGATAAACACTTAAAGATTCAACATTCTGTAGATTAAGTGAAATTCCAATGATGATCTTTCTAAGGGGTCTGATATCCAAAAGTGGTTTAGACAGTGCCGCTCTCCAGTCCTTTAAAGGGACGCCATAGCCACCGGAGCCTCTACAGCTTAATGTAGTGATTAAGCACCATAAACAGAGAAAAGGCACTGTTTACATTGCTGCCTAGGAACACCTCTAAGGACCGTCACTCAGACAGCCATTAGAGGTGCTTCCTAGTCAAGTGCTGTACACGATGCAGCACCTACATATCCTAAATGCGCAATAGCCTCCCAATGCTTTCCAATAGGAAAGCATTGGATTGGCTGAAATCATTAAGATTGACGATCTCAGCCAGGGAGGCGGAGTAAGGCGGGGCCAGCCATGAGAAAGACTGGTGCGGCTTGGGAGAAAAGGGTACGTTTTAAAATCTTTTTACTGCTCTGACAGGCGGCCGGAAACCTAAATAGCTATTTTAACACTATAGTGTCAGAAATACATGTTTGTGTTCCTTCAAGGTGGTATTTACTATAATGCAGCAAAGGTTAATGTTGGTCTACAAGCTGGCTAAGCATCGTGGTAAATGTAGTGAATAAAAGCAATTCTAAATTAAAATGCAAATTGAGAAAGATTTACTATTTTCCTGTAAATTATAAAACTTATATCCAAATTGAATATTTTTTTTTTTAAAGTGTTTAACAAGTCTAAAAAAGATTAAAGCAACATTTAGACAGTTTTTAAGTTTTTCGGTATTTACTTTTAGCTGTTAGCTTTTCCATTTCCTTCACACAGAGAACCCTTCTTCATACATTCCCAAACATGCTTCAATAATATAGACAAATGAAGCTTGAAAGGTTTAATCTCTGTCTAAATACAGGCTGGAGGATGCAGTGTGAGTTGTACTGTGCATTTTCCAGTTACTGAATGCAATATGCTGTTTGCCGTGGTACAGGCATAAAATTGGAACAGAGTAATTGGAAGGTGTCTGTCGTCTCCCTCCCTTGTTTACCTGTGGTAATCTGCCCTAATGGGAGGCGGGAACGAGAATGCCTGTGAAAACATTTCATCTTCGATGACTGCTGATTAGAACACTCTGCGTACACACGCGTTTTACCATGTGAGAAACGCCTTCTACTGTACCATTGGCTAATGGCCAGCTGGATACAGTAACATCCCAGATTGTCATCTTTTATTTAACCTGTACTACAGCACCAGCCCCAGGGCAGCAATTCCCACCATCCACAGCCAGCAGGAAATAGCATTGATTCAGATATCAGAAATGTACATTTTTGTCAAAATGAAAATTAAGGTGATCAGATTTTTACATCAGAGAAACAGTGTATCGTGAATTTTTTGTCCATGCTATCTCTGCACTGTAAATACATTCTTAAGGCAGTGAAGCAATTCATTTTTACAAAAATTTGCAACGTCTTTATGGGGTGAAGTTAATTAAAGAAGAGCATTGTGTTTGAAGAGAGCCCTGTACTCTGCATTTCTCATATTAAACGATTAGTAATTTACTCCTTTAACATGTTTCCCTTTAATCACTCGATCATAAGAAGCTCTTATATCGAATTACGTTTTATGGTTCTGTATTTAAATTTACTTTATCAGTGTATTGTGCTTAGGACTACATATCCCATCATTCACCTGTCTGCCTCTTCCTGACTCAGCAGGTTATGTGTGTATTAGCTTATAAATTAAATCTGTTTACATTTGTTTTAATAGGTGGTGTGTTAATGCATTTTAATTGTAAGAGCCTAATCCTAATCTAGCCTAACGTGTCAAATATCATTTAGATTAACTCTACTATATTACAAAATCTAGCCGTGATAAAATTACTTTAGTTTATAAAATATATATATATATCCAAATAGCATCTGGGATTACAGTGGGAATTGAATGAATTTAGGGGGTGAGTATTTACGGTAAGGACATACCGCAGTGCAAAGACTATAAATATATGTGCAGCGATGGACGCGGTCGCAGTGATGAGACACTGCTCGCCATTCTCAGTGGGAGCGTTGGATCATTTTGTACTTTTATGGAAAAAGAAGAGATTGCCTTTTTAAAATGTAATCCATGCTAACCAAATTAGCATTTCCCTTTTATCACCAGCCAGTCCTTTATTTTTTTTTATTATTAATTTTTTAAATAAGAACCGCATGTTCATTATTTCGGGGCTGGTGGAAGTTGGCTCTATGTATATATTTTTGTGTCTTTGTACTTTGTATAAGAAATCCAAAGTTTTACCATTTTAGGGTCCATTGCATTTTAATGTGCAGTTTAGAAATGATGATCCGAAAACCAGCATTCCAAGTTCTGGGAGGAAATGTGGCTGCGTGATTTCTTGAAAATAAGTCTTTCAGGAAACAAACAATTTCTGAATTAATCTACTAATAATTGTACGTGTGCACACTGCTTGCTGAATGGATCAATAACGTATAGATTAGCAGAAGAAATACGCCATGAATTACAATAAGATTATTTGGCTACATCCTTAAATAGGAATTAAGTTGTTATGGTGCCAGGAGTTCATTTCCTTCAGGGATGGTGTAACCCCAAGGTCTTCTGTCATGCACCGTTTAACTTTTTACCTTCCACATCCGCTTGAGTCCGAGGCTTGAAACAGGTTGCCTCGTACTGGGCACTGCTGAGAACATCAGCTGACACTCGGCATGTCCGAGGCACCAAATTCACAAAATGGCCTTAGAAACATATAAACAACCAGAAGTGGAGGGGGCAGAGTTAAACAGCATAGAACAGACGCACTGGGGGTTAAATAGTTTATTAGCTGTTTAACCCCTGAATGTAAGCTGGCACTAGCAAGATTTAACTCTGTGAGCCCATTAGGGCTTATAGCTCCCAGTGACACCGTTCCTAATCTGAACACAATGCTCGATTTATAGCCTGCAAAGGACTTGGCTCATTATTTAATGGCTGATATTGTTTGCGGGGAGAGTGTACTTTCTGTACCGAGACAGCTTTTAGGCGGGTCCTGTGATCTCCCGAATAGTGCTTGTTGGTGTATGTGTGCACGAGGAATCTGTACAATTTGTGCCGCAGGTATGGGTGTGAGTAATAAGAAACCCTGTCACGTTGAATCACTTGTGCAGGAAAGTGATTGTAAACAAAGTTAGAACTTTCACTGCTTCCTGTTAATCATCCCAGAACACTGCTGCCTGGCCACGTTAAGCGTTGAGCGCACAAACACATTGTTCTGCCACGGTTACCTCACACTTAATTAACACCTGGTACAATGGGTGCTACTAATTAGAGTTTTATCCTCCTGCGTTCCAGAACATTGCTCACCACTTTCATTTTTAGGGACATGCTAAGCACCATAACCACTTATACTGTTGGAATAGGTTGCGGTGTGATGAGATCCTTGTGTCCCTACATTCGATTAATGACAGCCACTGCTATGATCACCACAGCTTAATACCCCTCTTTAACGTCACAGTGCTGTGCTTCCTTCGACCTGTACCAGATCCCATACAAACATTCTACGTCCCCTAAGGGTCTGCACAGGTTCTTTAAATGAACGATAAAGGGTCAGAAACACAAACATGTATTCTGAATCTATACTGTTAATACCACCATCCAGCCCCCCCTGGCTCCCCTTGCCTCCTTAAAGGGACACTGTAGGCCCCCAGACCACTTCAGCTAATTGTAGTAGTCTGGGTGCTGTGACCCTTTTACACCAGTTCCAAAGAACTGCAGTGTTTACATTACAGCTCTAAGTCTGCCCTCTGTGGCTTTTGGTCCGTTATCTGACGCCGGACATCCTCACGGACCTCCGGCATCAGATTTCCCCCATAGGAAAGCATTGAATAATGTGCACGTGGCCATTTCTGCGCATGCGAATCAGGTCTCCCCCGCCGGCTGATGTCAGTGGGGGAGGAGCGTGGGCAGAAACTGACCCAGTGCCAAGGGACATCGGTGCTGAATTCAGGTAAATGGCTGAAGGGGTGGCTGAGGGGGGCACTCCATAAGCCTATAGTGCCAGGAAAACGGGTTTGTTTTCCTGGCACTATAGGATCCCTTTAAATCTAGTAAAATCTTACTTGTAGTCAAGTCTGCAGCTGCGGCCTATTCCCCTGACATGCCTGCTTGGCTGACATTATCAGAAGTGATTCTCTGAAACAATCACAATGCTTTCCCATATGATTGGCTGAGACTGTCAAGGAGGCAGATCCAGGCCTGGCCAATCAGCATTTCCTCATAGAGATACATTCAATCAATGCATCTCTATGAGGAAAGTTCAGTTTCTCCATGCAGAGGGAGGAGACACTGAATGGCAGTACTGCACAGTGATCAGCACTGCCACAGGAAGCACCTCTGGCAGCCATCTGAGGAGTGGCCAGTGAAGTTATCACTAGGCTGTAATGTAAACACTGCATTTTCTCTGTAAAGACAGTGTTTACAGCAAAAAGCCTGAAGGTAATGATTCTACTCACCAGAACAAATTCAATAAGCTGTAGTTGTTCTGGTGACTATAGTGTCCCTTTAACAACTTAATTTGCACCCATTTTCATTTGATTTATTTTACTTCCCCTTTTATGTCATTCCTTTAGTATTTACTCTATTTCATACTGCTCATTTTTTAGGGGGTAAAAAAGAATTACAATCTAGTGACTTTAATCCAAGGTTTAAATTGTTTATGTTATGTGTGTTTAGCCTTACTGTGCTGGGAAACCCACATCTGCCCTCTGAGCAAACCGTGTGATCGGGAACATCAAGGTCCCCCCCTCCCTACTCTTTACCCGGAGCATAACGCGGCATCTGAATACCATGGATTGAACTGAACATGGTACCAAAAACCTTCAAACTAATCTATAGAGCTGATAAAATAGTAAAGAGTTTAAAGGTGAAGCCAGTTATGAAATATTTCGTAGCTTATTTGAACTCCATTATCTCTACTGCTTCTTCGATAATCAGATCTGCGAAATATAATGTTCTGTTTGTTCAGTGCCATTTTAAATCCTTGCAGCTTGATGATAAATTACTTATTTTCTAAAAGAAGCTGACCACGTCTGTCTCCAAGAAATGAAATGTTCTGCAGGTGCCACGGAAACAGGTGACTTCCATTAAAAATGCTAGAAGCTGGCTGTGCCAGTCGGATTCTTCTTAAAACAATGTGAGGCATAATTTGAAATGCCAGCTGACTGTTCAGCAGCGCATGCAGCATTTAGCATAGAGCTTGTAAGCAGACGCACTTGGTATTGTCTGACTGAACTTAAAGGATCACTATAGTGTTTTCCTGACACTATATAGTCCTTAGGTCCCCCCCACCCTCAGGGCCCCCCTCCCTTGGCGCTGAAGGGGTTAAAACCCCTTCAGTAACTTACTTTAATCCAGCGTCGGGCTCCCTCGGTGCTGGTGACCTCTCCTCCCCCGCTGACGTCAGCTCTCGAGTGGAGCGGAATGCGCATACGTGGCAAGAGCCGCGTGCGTGCATTCAAACAGTCCATAGGAAGGCATTTCTCAATGCTTTTCTATGGACGTTCTGCGTGATCGATGCGATTTTCGCATCCAGTATCGCAGAAGCGCCTCTAGCGGCTGTCAGGAAGACAGCCACTAGAGGTTGGATTAACCCCAAATGTAAACATAGCAGTTTCTCTGAAACTGCTTTGATTACAGCTGCAGGGTTAAAACCTGGGGGACCTGGCATCCAGATCACTTCATTGAGCTGAAGTGGTCTGGGTGAATGTAGTGTCAGTTTAATTCACGTTACAGTTAAAATGCGTTCTGTACATTTACTATTTGTAAAATCCAACACAACGTGTAGATTCAATGTTAGAATCCACCGTAAGCCCTTGGCTTCGACATTTGCACGTTGCCCTGACAGGTCCCTGCAAATCTTCTCGTTTGTTGCTGGTGAGGTTAGACTCGCGTGCCACAGTTTGCTAACTGGCTCGATTCCCACTGTCTGTACTAAGTACAGAAACAGCCTGATAAATTGCAAGTATTAGGGAAGAAATTCGCAGAAGGGAAAAGATCCTTTCAAGGTGTTTAAAGGACCATTGAAGTCACCCAGGCTATTTAATCTCAATTAATTGGTCTGGGTGCAGTGGCCCTGTCCTTGTAACCCTGCAGTGTAAAACTGTGCTTTTTTATAGGAAATGCAATGTTTACACTGCAAGGTTAGAGGGACACTATAGTCACCTGAACAACTTTAGCTTAATGAAGCAGTTTTGGTGGATAGAACATGCCCCTGCAGCCTCATTGCTCAATCCTCTGCCATTTAGGAGTTAAATCCCTTTGTTTATGAACCCTAGTCACACCTCCCTGCATGTGACTTGCACAGCCTTCCATAAACACTTCTTGTAAAGAGAGACATATTTAGGCTTTCTTTATTGCAAGTTCTGTTTAATTAAGATATTCTTATCCCCTGCTATGTTAATAGCTTGCTAGACCCTGCAAGAGCCTCCTGTATGTGATTAAAGTTCAATTTAGAGATTGAGATACAATTATTTAAGGTAAATTACATCTGTTTGAAAGTGAAACCAGTTTTTTTTTCATGCAGGCTCTGTCAATCATAGCCAGGGGAGGTGTGGCTAGGGCTGCATAAACAGAAACAAAGTGATTTAACTCCTAAATGACAGTGAATTGAGCAGTGAAATTGCAGGGGAATGATCTATACACTAAAACTGCTTTATTTAGCTAAAGTAATTTAGGTGACTATAATGTTCCTTTAATGTATTTGTTTTGGTGAGTATAGTCAGTCCCTGCAAGCTTTTTGCTGTAAACACTGTCTTTTCATAGAAAATGCTGTGTTTACATAATGGCCTAGGGATACCTTTACTGGCCACTCCACTGATGGCTACTAGAGGTTCTTCTTGCGGCAGTGCTGCACAGTGTGACTGACATTCAGTGTCTCCTCCCTCTGCATGCAGACACTGAACTTTCCTCATTGATTCAATGTATCTCTATGAGGAGATGCTGATTGGCCAGGCTGGCGTTTGGCACCACCCCACCTCCTTGACAATCTCAGCCAATCCAGTGCTTTCCCTATGGGAAAGTGTTGGATTGGCTGAGATCATCAATTCTGATTATGTCAGCCAAAGAGGCGGATTGGGGTGCCTCTTTGGCTGATGCCGGCGGACCAGCATGGTGCTGGAAATAAGGTGACTTTTAACCCTTTGTAAGGTGGCTGAGGGGAGGCAAATGGTGTTTGTTTGTTTTTTATTTATTCTTTATTTTTGTATTGCATTGCAGGATAACAAGTAAAGACAGAGACAATGCAGTGAGAGTAGGAGCAAGAGGTTACAAGACATGTCGGAGATACCGCACTATTTTTTTTTTTAAATTACAGGAATACAAGTCGCTTATGTGACGTGGCAGAGGAGTAACCCCCCAAAAGGCCCCATGTGAACTCAGAGTACATATGTCAAATATGAGTAAACTGCAATATATTCCATAAGAATGGAAAAAGGAAATGTAGCTATAAAACAAAACTAGTGCCCAATCGCTAGTAATGAGGCAGAGGAGGGAAAGTTCCGCTCAGCTCAGCCTATGCCTTGCAAGGGCCAGGTAGTGTCCCTCACCAGAAACTGCCCCAGCAAGCATGATAGCTCATAGGTAAGTATGAGAAACAGCATGGCTTGGAGACATGGCCGTAAGGCAGCAGCACACAAGCCGTTCCGTCCATCAAGTAAGCATGTAAGCGCAACATCAGGGTGCCGCCATATCCAGAGGGGTTGTTCTCAGTAAACGCCGAGATGTGTCTCTCCGGGCGCTGGCGTACAGGACAGGTCTGATCAGGAGTGGGCTCCACTTCTCACAGCCCGTCTGCATGTGAAGGACTGTGAGGCACGAGGTCTGGCTGGAGATCAGGAGTCCACATATGAGCGGGCAGCTTCGCAAAGAAGGCGTCGAATAGCTCCGTCAGCCTACTCTCCACATTCCATCTCTCACCGCATGGGTTAGGCGAGTATGGCTGACCGCCATTGTACTGGTAGGGTCGGTACTGCTTGTAAGTGTCGCTTGGGCACAGCGTAGTAGTGGAGCCTTTGGGGTTTGGACCAGTATCACCCCCACCAGTCCAGACTGGGGCTGTAGTAGGATTTAGCGGTAGTCCAGTATCCGGCAAGCCGAGGGGGGGGTTCGCCTTTCCCATCCAGGCCTCACTGCGTCCTTCTTTGGTGGTAGAAGCAATCCAGTTAATGTGCTCTAGGAGAGCCCCAAAATAGCGGGATAGCGGTAAGTCTCTTTTAGCTGCAAAAATAGTGTCCCAAGGGGCAGTAAACACGGGTAAATAAGTAGTTAAGTTGGGGGCTCTTTCAGAATGCGTTCGACTGCTATGCAGGTCAGGTCCCGTCCCCCCTAAATGGTGGTTTTAACAACATAGGGTCAGGAATATACGTTTGTGTTCCTGAAACTATTGTGTTCCTTTAAATTCACCAGATTTCTAGCCTCTCTGAACTGACCGAGTAAAACAGAAGCCCCCATAGGAAAGCATTTATTCAGCTTTGGATGCATTTCCTGCGCATGTGGTCTGATCTCCAATATGGGGAGCAAATGATTGGAGCATCGCGGAGGAGACTATGATGTCATAGGAGGCGGAAAGGTGAGCAGTGTACTGAGTGCTTGAAAAAAATAGAAATAACTATATCTTACTAGGGACAGGGGCAGTAAAGCGTTAGGAATTCAGTTTTCGTGTTTCTTTTAGGATTACAGCGAATTATATTATCTGCTCAATATACCATTCATCACTACAACTTGAATTAAGTTGTTGAATTCAGATATTCCACAAGGAGTGTGTGTACAGTATGCAATAACCTTCTGTACTCTCTATGTACTATTAGCCGATATTGTTTATGCATAGATGTGTTCGGTGATAGACGGGCTCTTCTCAGCTGTAAATCTGCAACTCGTGTTGGATAAAAGTTATTCTGAAACTGTCACGTAATCTTATGCTTGAGAGAAAGGTTTGTGCAGACAAGTACTTTTAAGGTTATAATCTGAATTTGGACATTTGCAGCGTATTACGATGAGAGAGAGAGGTTTGTGCATGGGGTACAAACAACAAAACCAATTGCCAAGAATTTGCTTTTGAGAGGACTTAACCCAAATTTAACTGAGTTAAATGAGCTTAAAGGATCAGACTCCGTGATCTGTGCCTTAGCATTTAGTTAATGTTCTGCTGCTAAAAGAACAAGGAGTAAACCTGTTTTCTAGTTCTATAATTCGTTCTGTGTACCTTACTATGAATTGCAGGGCTTATTTTTGGTGTTGCGCAGTGAAGTAGCCATTTTAGAACATTTGGTGATGTGACACAAGCCTCTACAAAGGCTTTGTTAGGAGCTAAAACTCCTGTGCCCAGTCTCTTCTAATTTATTGCCATCGGAGTTTGGTCATCTCTGGGATGGAGACACGATTACTACTTCCTATGTGTGCCAACCCATCGTTCCCTTCTCCACATGCCTCTAAGTGTCTTGATCACATTCTTGTGACTACAGATCTTGTGCGTCACTTAGACTTTATTTAATAAGACAGGATAAGTTAATTACCTTAACTTCATAACTGTTTTATATATCGCACATTTATGACCACAAATGAATATGCAATACAGGATCCTCGACATGCGGTACAGTCGCATATTCCGTGTTTTGACTTTTCTGCCTGTTTGTGAATTTAGACATGCTTGGTTGGTTTTTCTGTTTGGATTGTACTATGTGTTTGACAGATTCTGGGTAGACCGCTGGGTGATGAACACGACGTTAAAAAAAAACTTAAAAGGCCTTAAATACTTTTTGACATTTTTGAGTGTTCCCTTTTGTCCATTCGACCTAAACGATGTTCACCAAGTGTCCTGTGCTTCAGCTTTTTTCATGTTATTTTCAAATTTATTTCCTGCTTCACCAGGGCATAGTCTAAGAAAGAGACAACCGATCACATGTGACGGCCACGCAGCCTGCACAGCGTATGCAAACGTCAGGCCAGTTAATGTATCTGTCGGTCAGCTCTGCTCAGTGTGTAAATATATCAGACAGGGCAGTCAGTGTTGAAGTCTCTGCCAAAGATGTGTCTGTGGATTAAAGCATCTTTGGTCAGATTGTAATGTTCCGAGATATTTATCATATTGGTTTATGGCATCAAAAATTGAGGGGAAAAAAAATTACAATATGCGTACTAAGCTAAAAATAGTTTAAAGTAGTTTTAAGTAGCTAAAAATAGTTTAAAGAACTGGAAATTGGTGGGGGGTGGGGGGGAACTAGTTTTTGATACAATTAAAATCTTGAAGCAGCTTCATAAAGAGTGAGATAGGTAAACCTAAAGAACATTCGACCCACGTTTTTTATTTTTCTAATCTTTATAAAGCTTGGGCACTGCTTAATCATTATCTCCAAATGATGCGTGGGTACAATATGGTGGTTAAAAATATGCACGATAATAAAGCACATCCTTGCTTCCGAGCGGATATTCTACAAATTAAGACACCTTTCTAAAATGATGGATTTTTGCACAAATTACTTTTCCAAAGATACCATATGTAACCTGGTAGATTTGCTCTGATTCTTCAAGATAATTCCTTCCTGCTCTACTTTGTAAACACAAAGCAGAATGAGAGGCCTAGATGAGATAGTAGAGCGTTTGCTCATTGCGTCCATTAGACCCAAGTAGGTCCAGGTGTTATATTTCCGTAAGGCTGTATAAAACGTGATGGTTTGTTGGAGTGATACAGGAGATCGCCTTTTTCAAGCCTTGTTTGGCTGGAAGGATCATTACATTGAGCATTTCTTTACCTACCGGTGGTATTAATAAATAAAGATGGATATCTGGACTGTGCACGTGTTTATGGAACACGCTAGCCGAAGATTCAAATTAAAAATAAAAAGCGACGCACAATGCTTTGTATGAAAATGGATACGGAGATTGTACCCGTGTCTATGGGAAGGCAGAGATCTAAACTAAACAAACATCTACTTAAAATGGTTCAAATAGAGCTCAGACAATGACGTTTACTGGGTAAAGGTAACCGGTCATATTAATCGTAAAACACCTTGTATAACGTATTGAAAGTTTAGGAAACTTTCAGACAGATTTCTAAGATATGTTTAGTAATGGATTCAGCCTGCTGTGAGCCATTTTTTTGCCCAGAGACAAAGCAAGCAAAAAATTAATGTGTTTATTTATGTCCAGATTTATCAAGGGACCTTCAATTTCCATTATACAGCGCTACGGAAATTGCTGGCGCTTTATACATAATAACATTTTAAAAATAATAATAATAAAGCATGCTATTGCTCAATTGTCCTCTAAAAGATTGTTCGATAATGAGATAACGGTGATTTCTTTAGATAGAATACTAGACCTTCTGTTGTATGACCCATACTAGTGATGTTATAACATGATTCTTTTCTGTGTCTCCCTGGTCTGGGGTGAGCAGTTTAATATTAGAATGGATTATAAGGTAAGGCCGGGTTTGTGAGCAGATTTAAACAGTGCCCCAGAATAACTGAAAAGGTTCCAGAGAAGAAGATTTAATAAACTTGTTTGCACGGCAGACTTAACTTTATCTGGGGCAAGTTCAGAGGAGAAAAATTATTCTTTGCCAACATATCCAACCACTGAGATTTTACTTTGATATCAATTTTTCCTTACTTGGATATTTGCAAAACTCGTGATTGAGTGCTGTTTGTTGGAAACTAGACTGTAAAAATAACAAAGTTTTAAATCGCAGTAACTGCAAATTAAAAAGAAATTTCTGACTTCTCCTGGATTTTCCAAGGCAATCTGATTTATGTGAGACAATGAGCACATTTTAATCAATTCTAGGATCTTGGGTCCAGTCATACCATCTAGTGAAACAAACATACAAGGACATTACAATCTCATATCTGATGTCTATTGACATGTTAAAGTGGCTCTGTCACCTACCCAGAAAATGAGCATATCGGATAAAATGTATACAAAATGCTCATAAAGAACATGTTTCTATTTTATTGAACTTCCAACACAGCCAAAATATATCATAAGACAATTTGATGTAGTCCCAGCTTGACAAGTGCAGAGCCACCGCCGTGAAGTTTTGTCATTTTCTCCAGCTGTTTCTAGCGACCGCAATGGGAATTAGGCACTGTATCGGTTCTGCTGGATCCTTCATAGACCTCAGTGTTATGCTCTTGCACATGTTCGAGAGTACAGCACTGATGTGGGAGCCAGAAACTGACGATTGAAGATGGCGGTGCACTCTGAGACCAATATCCAGTAAGTATAACGAACGTCCACTGCACCACCAGGCCACCACACACCAAGCAAGGATATCACCATGGGGGAGTCTTTGCAGAGACTCTAGAAGGTGACAGCCACTTTGATGGCTGCTAATGAACCAGTGATGGTGTTGTAGTGATCACAATTCCACCATTGTTGCTGGAGACAGTGGGCCCTATACCTTGTGTATAACACTCGAATATTTGCAATCACATCCTGCTGTAGAACAGTTATTGACACTTTAGCAAGTCCATCAAAAACCTTCAACTTCTCGACACCTCAAAGTGACTTATAAAAACTTTTCTATTAACTAAGCAATACCCAAACATGAATTTGGCGTGAGAAGAAGGTACTTCGCAAACACTTCCCCTGACTTAAAAATGTATACAAGCAACATTATTTATTGATACCAAGTAAAGCACAAAAAATGACTGCAACTACAATAGAACTATCAAAAATTGATCACCTAATACATTCACACAGATAAAACACACACACAGCGATATCCCTGTGGAACATAATAGATTATTGATCCTTCACAAGTTAATCATGAGTCTCGATTCTAAAACAATATCTGAATTCAGAGAAAAAAGTTGGCGTAATTTGGATTGTGATCGCTTTGGCAACTATAGGTTATTAATGTCAGAATGTCGTGTTAGATGTATATAGTGATGCTCAATAGGAACCATCGGCTCACGTTAATAATCCCAGTTCATGCTTCTTAAAACGCAAGAGCGAAGGCTACGACTGGTTCTCATTTGATAACCATGGATCATTGGTCATCGCATGGTCATTAATTCAGTACGTTGCTACAAACCAACCTATATAGATGTTACATTGTAACAATGACTGATCTGCATTTCCTACAGTCCATAACCCCAGATACCATTTTACTTCCCCGCACTGTAATGCTGAAATGGTTAAGAAAGAATCGGGAAACAAAATACAGAGGGATCATGCGATTTCATCAAAGCTATTTCTGTAAGCGGCAAATTTGAGAGTCACGCCAATCAGACACTTGGACGACTCTTTAATCAGCTTGCTTTCTGTACCCTTTCTTACTTTGATTGCCGCATCCAGAGTGCAGACTTTTAATCAGGATTTTCAGCTGTTTGTGACGGATCGGCTAAACTCTGCAACAGCTCACCTCCGCCCTCTGCTGGAGTCAGAAGGAATTCATAGCTTATTGTTAGAGCAATTTGTAGCAAAACGAAAGCTTTTTTCTTTTACAGCGTTCAATATGGGAACATTTGAAAGAGTTACTGCTAAAGCAGATAAAAGGTAGAGACTAATTTTTACATAAATATTTCATTAAAGTAAGAAGAAATGGAATCTGAATTAATTCTGCTTAAAATTTATTCGCTTTACGATTGTAATGTTTTGGGATTTTAGCAAACACAAACAAGTTTTTTTAATACCAAAATGCGCTTTTTTATTGTTGTCATAGTTACTGTTATAATTCATACATTGCGCAGTGCTGAGCGCAGTAAGTCACTGGATGTAAAAGTCCTGTAAAGTTGCGTTTATTGCAGTGGTTGCTGGATTGCAGTGCTATGGTTCGCAGTGGTTTTCCTAAGCTGGATTGCAATGACCGCGCTTGCGGTGGCTCCCGCGACATTGGCCTCAGCAAATCAGGAAAGACCAAACCTCCCGAACTCTCTATAACGCTCGCGCAGGAGGTCAGCTGACTACTGATCAGGGAGACCTTTAGCGGAGGGGAACAACGTGAAAAACTATGGGGTCCACAGCAAGCTGTGGGGGCTGCAACCGTGTTCATGCATCACCGTTTGAAGTTTGGGCACTCATCTGTCCGATTCACAAACTGCGGAACAGCAAATTTGATAGCGAACGGAATGTGAACCTGTTGGAAGATTTTGCTTTGACGTGTTATGTGCAGCTTTGGTCTATGCTCCATAGCAACATAGCAAAAAATAGCAGCTTCTGTGAACAACACATAACATGCAAGCGGCACAGCCTTGTAGAACAAAAGCGTTGCCGCCTGCTTTATTTTAGTTTCCATCTCGCCGTGGTTTGTCAGTTCGTGAAGTATAAAAGGGCAGGTCTGTGTCATTGCAAGCTAATTTTTGGTACTCGCTTCATATAAACTCCTTTTTCTTTCCAAATGCTAAGTGATTTCTCTTATTTTTCTTTTTTTTCTCCACAATGGCGCTTTGTTACCGGGTTCAGTTGGGTCGCTGCTAAAACCATCCAGTGAAATGCTTGAACTCTTGTACTTTTCTTCTTTTTGTATTTTTTTCCCCCTTATTTCAACTTTTGTCATATTTGTGTACTTTGTTAAGAATATTGTCTCCGTTTGGAATTTCAGTATAAAAGTAGACTTTTTGCAGAGGTCGGTTTACAGAACAATCCATTGAAAATTGTTTTGTTTTTACAGTTTAGCCGATATAATCTCAAAGAATACGTGCATGTTTCTTTATTTTCTGCATGTTTTCTATGGGGTGTATGGAAAAAAAACAACTTGGAAATGCTGCAGACCTGCTATCTGCAGCATTTGAAAACCCTCCTTAACATTCCATTATTTAGACTTCTAGTCTGTGCCGTGGAATACACCAATTAGAGGCTTTTCAGCTGCTGAACTGCATTATGTGTCTGGTGCGTTACTTCTGAATCAGGGCAGATTTTTGATGTAGTTTAAAGTTGTTGTTTTTTATTATTATTATTTTGATATTGTTTATTTTGTTTGAAATTTACTTTTTCAACCTGTTTTTTTTCACCCCAAGCTATTTTAGACTATTACTCTTAACATTCCTTAGCGATACTTTTTAAAACTGGATACCACTTTAACCAGTCTTAATTAAATGAAATACGGGGGAGAAAAATACAAAAAGTTGTGCCCAACAGAATTTGTGTCAATAAAAGAGAACATTTTAAATGTGATTTTCAGCCTGGATTTTTCCTTGTGTGATATTTCTGTTGTTAGACTTTATATTTAAGATTGATAACACTGATCATTTTCTTTCAGGTCAGATTTTGCCATCAAACCGTAACACTCCAAGCCCAATCGACCCAGAATCCATCCAGGTGGCTGTGGGCTACGACCCAGACCCAGCAGACCTAGCTCTCTCCAGCATCCCAGGTCAAGAGATGTTCGATCCGCGAAAACGCAAGTTTTCGGAGGAAGAGCTTAAGCCGCAGCCTATGATAAAGAAAGCGCGCAAGATCTTCATTCCAGATGATCTGAAGGTAATTTGGAAACAGTGTGCAAGATAATTACTGACATGGGGGGGTCCATTAGGATCTGTGTTTATCTTTCATCATTAAAGGGACACGCCAGACAACGACAGCATTTTAGCTTGCTGCAGTGCTTTATGTGTGAAGAGTGTGTCCTCTTTTTTTTATTTTACAAAAAGTGTGAATTTCTGTAGAAACTGACACTTTTTTATAAAATACACTGGTTACAGCCCACTGGCAGTTAGACACCTGATCCTGTTACATCCTGGTTTGGTTAGCTCAGTGGAACTCAAGAGGCCACTATTGCCCAGAGCACCTGCCTTGCAAAGACTACTCATTGAGCTGCATTAGGATGTCTGTGACTGGACAGCAAAAGAAAATCTGGGCGGGGTTAGAATAGGACGACTTGCAAAGGCTGCATACAAGAGATCTACAGCGTTTGCAAGCTGTTTTTGATCTACCCCAAATGAAAAATAAACTTGCTTTCATTGGGGCTATATCTACTAAGCAGTGATTTTTTTTTTTCGTATTTGGAGAGTAAAGTGTCCCTTTGATCTTATAAACTATGTGGCTAACACAGTCTACTCCAGGGTGGATCTACCAAAAAGCCAAGATCTAAAAACTCACTGATTATACCTTTTTCCTTTTATAACCTCCCATGTCCCATTCGCTCACATTTAAATATGACCAACAACCGATAATGCAAATAAAAAGGAAATACTGTATCGGGCAAGCAAATGCAGGCAGCTAATCCGAGACCAAGACGTAGCTCCACCAATCAGGAGCCCCTCATTTTTGGTGTATCAGGGTCTGATCCCATAATTTCCCTGACCAGCTTTGGCCTCATTACATAAGTAGTTTCACTTGTCTAACAGAATGAATTAATATGCTAAATAAGCCAACAGAACATGCCGCAGCTGATATCACTTCACACATAGTTTGCTCGAGTGTTTTTTAAACTAGGCCTTCCTACGGCGTCTAGCAATCCCAAGATAAACAAATCTAATACTGAAAAGGAGGAAGTAAAATAACTCCTCTCAGCGTGGAGCAGAGAACGTTCAAAATCATACCCATCTCAATGATGCAACATTGTTATGGTGTTTGTAGTTAGCTTTTAAAGGTATTCGGACATTAGAAGGGATGGACGTCTCGTTTACCCTTTGTACAACACTGCCGACTATGTGGGTGCTTTATAAATAGCAATGGGTATTTTTTAAAGTGCCCCTGATTTGCATTTGGGGGAGCTCTAAGCAACACAACACCCACAGCACAGTTTATTATCACAGCTTCGTATAACAGCTATGTCTAGGATTTCATTTGAAGTGGGGTCTTCATGGGGCCCAATAACTTAACTGTCAGTATTGTCCAACCACAGAGCCCTGTGCTAAACTGCGAGCTGCGTATCTCTTTAATGCCATGTATCTTCCAATCAGTTAAAGTGTCCTGTGCATCATCTTTATGTAAATGAGCTCAGCGGACGTACACCTTATTTGCATATTGAAGCGAAGTGTTAACAGTACTAAGCCTGGGCGAGGAATATAACGCCTTGGGCGCCATTTATACGGCTGAAGTGTAAACTTAATGCTACAAAAAAACTTTTCCAATGTCCCTGTTAGTCAGTGAGCTGCGTGTGACCTGCCAACAACTCCTTTATGTACGACATCCGTGGATCACGCTCCCAGCGCGTTAACTAGCGACACGCAGGCTGCAACGGTGCACAAATACATATTTTATTTACATTCTTAGAGCTTTTTAAGCTGACTTACTCCAAGTCTGAAGGGAATGCATTTTAAATGGTGCCAGTTCCACGTGGTCGTGACATTAGAGAAGTCACCTATTTTAACTTCCTTTTGTAAGCAGACACTGGCCAGTAAGATCAACGTGCACTCAGTATATTTTCTCTGCAGCTAATCACATCAGGTGCTGCGCTCACTTATCAGAACGCTTAATCCGGCTCGCTGTTCCACCGCAGACTGCTGATTGGCCGTTTGATCCTATGGCAGCAGTAAGGAGATTAAGGCTCTCCGTCGCTGCTGTAGCGCACGTGATCACAGTTCTCCAACCTTGGCTCCATCAGGACAGGATTAAAGGATTTGCTGGAGCAATTTGTTAAAATAAGGATAGATATGACTCAGGTGACTTTGTTAATGAATTGCTTTAAAACTGATTTTGTGGTAAGTGAACTAGATTCAAAAACTAAAAGATACAATTTGGGTCAGATGTTCTATAACCCAAAGAGAATATTATCTAAGATCCTGAACAATATACCTGAGCAATAAATAGAGGATTATTTTTTTTAATTTTCAGTGATTCTCGGAGCATTCTGGGACATGTTTTAAATGCCACATTTGGTGCGGACACATTCATATATCAAGACACGTTATTAGTTTATTTATTCTATGTAAGCCATTTGTCAAACACTAGGTATAGATTAAATAAATAAAGATTAAAACAATGCTCAGTCATATTATGTCCACTTGACATCACTTTGTGAATATTTCCTAAGAACATTAAAGGAACACATTACTGTCCAAATACAAAAAAAAGAAAAGAAAATCCACTGTTTAGTAGATATACAACTATTGAAAACATGCATAATTTAATTTTTTTTTTCCATTTATATCGAAAACAGCTTGTGAACATTGCAGATCTCTTGTCTGCAGCCTTTGCAAGCCCTCCCCTTCTAGCCACACCCAGACTTTATGTGGCTGTCCAATCACAGACTTCCCAATGCAGCTCAACGAGAGGTCTTTGCAAGGCAGGAACTCTGGGTAATTGCTGCCTCTTGAGTTAAGCTCCACTGAGCTAACCAAAGCAGGAAGTAACAGGACCAGGTGTCTGATTGACAGCCATGTAGTGTAACAAGGTTCATTTATAAAACTGTCCATTTCTGCTGAAACCTGCACTTTTTGTAAAATGAAAAAACGCATTCTTTACACAGCAAGGTAATGTATTTGTTGTGTCCCTTTAAAGGGATATCTGTGTCATGTACGAGAGAATGTTTAGTAATATTATTATTATTATTAATGGTATTTATATAGGGCCAACTTATTCAACAGTCCTTTACAATATTATCTAGATCTAATGTTGGACTAGCAGCTTAAGGGTTTGTCTGTGTATTTATTGCAAGAACAAGGGCTATCTTGCACTGTTATTTTCGTAAAAGTGCTACAAAAGTTAGAATATAACCTTGAAATAATAGAGCTCTGGCCTGTTGGAGCCTGAGCTCAAACTTCACAATATCTAAATATCTAACATGTGGTGCCCAAGGGTTTGGTGTAGTTCGGGCAAAGGATAATGGGGTTTAGTTCTTCAGCCATAGGAGAGCTAAATGTTGCTCACCCTTTGTTGACTGGCCCTGGATGTCATCAATATTTCCTGATTAAAGTGATGTATGTGTTTATGTGTTTGTTTTTTTATTCGGAAATCTAATATCTTGTTTCCTCTTGTCTTTGAACAAATGAGCAGGATGAAAAATACTGGGCAAGGCGCAAAAAGAACAACATGGCTGCCAAGAGGTCAAGAGACGCTCGGAGGCTGAAGGAGAACCAGATCGCCATCCGCGCCTCGTTCCTTGAGAAGGAAAACTCTGCATTACGGCTGGAGGTGGCCGACTTGCGGAAAGAGCTTGGAAAATGCAAGAACATATTGGCAAAGTACGAGGCCAGACACAGCCCACTGTGAATATACACGGACACTCTGATCCTCGCTCGTAGCACTAAACACCGAATTCTGTCATCAGCACTTTACTGGAAGCAGAAACAGACTGAGAATTTTTGTAATTACAATTATTTTGTTTATTTCTATGAGTGTTTGTATATCACTGCACTTTTCATGATACCAAGCGCTTTAGATAGATATATATATATAAAAATACAACTTTTTACCTGGGTTACAAACAATAGGAAAAAAAACTGCCGTAGCATATACCATCCGGGTATGCTGGTCATTGCTGAACTACCTTCTCCATTTTCAGGCTCACTTTACTATCCCCGACGCGTTGCACACCTTGAAGGACTGGACTGCCAGAATGATACACTGTCTGAAATAGGTTCCAACAAAACATTGTTTTACTTTTCCGACGCCACAGTGTACATTCGCTTTCAAAACTATCGCAAGGATTTTATTCGTTAACCTGGGAATTGTGGGAATTAACAGGGGGAATTGCAATTTTTTATTGCCAGTTCTGCTTTTTTTGGGCATGAAATTTGCACCCCCTTCCCCATTTTCCACTTAATTCCCGATTGGGTGAATAACTGATTCTTTTTTTTTTTATTTCTTTTTTTTTTATATATATCATTAATGTCTAAATATTTCATTGTAATATAAGAGAATATTTGTTAACCTGCAGTGTGCTGTATGTATTGCTTTGGCAGCGGTATGGTTGAACGTCTAAGCAAAATGAGAACACCTACCTCATCCAGCCATTCCATTCTAGCTTCTGTTGGTCTGGAAGGGATGTGATTTGTTGTAGAACCATGTTTTAAAAGCCCAAGGCTTAGATTGGCCTATGTAGGCCTTAACCCTTTAAGGACACATGACATGTGTGACATGTCATGATTCCCTTTTATTCCAGAAGTTTGGTACTTAAGGGGTTAGACTCACCTGGTATCGGCTGAGATTCCCCCTATATTAGATAGATTAACCCTAAATGGAAATCTCTATAAAGCAATAAGACTCATCAACTCACCCCCTCTTTATTGGCAGATGGTTATAATTTATGAGAGAACTCAATTATTGTCTTGTGAACCTTTAATGACCTTCTCAATGTTCTTGAAGGGATAAAGGAGAACAAAGAAATTAGAGTTGCCACGCTATGATAAAATAGAATTATTTGTTTAATTTCAGCCATCATACTTTCACCGAGGAGGAGGTAAGTTACGCCACTCCCAGCGTACTGCGTCACTGCCATAAATCCATGGAATGGTTATGCCAAAACATTTCAAATGGAAATATCAAGGTCTGTCAATCTTCTTCATACCTCTTTCAGAGGCTTTTCTTCTGTTTTATTACAATTTAAGATTTTCTGTACATTTGTTACATTTGCAGCAAATGGTTTTGCGTGTTTTTTTTTACTGTCCTGTTTTCTTGCGGTGGCTAAAGAATGGCATTTATTTATTGTGACAGCTTACTGAAACCTTTGCATTTTACATTGAAGCACTTACCTTGGGACGGTTTGTTCGTTTCTCTTTTACATTACGGAATTCCCTAAACATTGAATTGCCAGAAACGCAAAGTGGATTTCCAGTTCTAAACCAAAATAACCAAATTGGGGTAAAAGCTTTAAATCACTCGTTTACTGCTAGTTACTATTTTGACCTAAATATTTTAAATTCACTTTGATTTTACCAACAATTCATGCTTTAGTAACCTACCCTCCTAGTGATTCCTGCACACCAAATCTTTCGGTATGTTGAGTATCCCCTTCTATGCACATCTGACATATGCCAGTATGACAGCCACTAGAGGTGGATTCAACAAAAAAGGATAGGTCCACTGCACCCAGACCACTTCATTGAGATTTGATTTTAGAGGTCTTAAAAAAAAAAAAAAAAACCAGAAGAAATACACACAACATTTATTTAATGAAAAACTGTACATTCATTTGTGTAAACTCAATTTCACGCACATTCACCCACTTGCCAATGGCAAGAAAAAGTACACCTCTGGTGACTGTGGCGTGGACCCTCCAACCTTGCAGTGACAAGTAACCTTTAAGCCTATCTAGTAGTCTAGGCTTTAAATTTTAAACCCTGCATTAGATCTATATTAATAAAATATAATGTTCGAAAGAAAACAGTGAAACCGACCCATGTGCTTAAGTCAACATTCCCTAATACGAACAGGTGACGGACCTCGCTATCTGTTTGGTCTGCCGTAGCATTGGACGCATCTGCGCAACACCTGGTTTAACTGCAAAAGGCTTCAGTATGCGTTGTAACAGATTGAATGTAACATATAAATGTGCCGGAGGTGATGGTTTTGTTATATTTTTTAATTTAAAATTTATGTAGATGACTATAAGAGCTATATTATAACTGTACAGTTTATTAAAGATAATAGAAATTTGGGAGGTTTTACACAGTGATTTTTTTCTTTTTATGAACGATGACTTTTCGAAAGGATATTTCAGGCATAGAGAAAATAAAGATATAATATATAAATACATTGTACAGTAAAGATTTGTAGTATTTTATGTGTGTTATTGACTCCAGACAGAATATTATGTTAAGAGCTAATATTACGGATATTTCATTCTCCTGGTTGTCTTAGAACGAGAATTGTTATGACTTGTATGTCTGTGTTAAGTCCGAAGTGAAATTGTTCGAGTAAAAAAAAAAAAAAAGAAGAATCTCTCTATATATAATTCTATTGTATTTTTGTATCAATTCAGCATTCGTTCACTTGGAATTCCCATGATCTGCTTTATGTGTTAGAATGGAGACATGGAGAACATTTTGTAATAAAAACTAATTTCATTTCTATTAATGGAGACAAGTTTTCAGAGTGTGGGTTTGTGTATTGGGTGGGTGGATTTGTGCAAAATGACCTTTTTAATGAGATTAAATGGACACTCCAGACCCCTAAAGCAGGGGCGTACCTAGAGCGTCTGGCACCCGGGGCGGGTCCTGTGTTTGGCCCACACAGTTACAGGCAGCATCACACAGTCACAGGCAGACAGTCCCACACACACTTATAGGTAGACAGTTACACACACACAGTCAGTTAGGGACAGTCACACACACAGTTACATGCAGACAGTTACAGGCAGCATCTCACAGTTAGGGGCAGTCACACACAGTTACATGCAGTCACACACACAGTTACAGGCATACTGTCACACATAGTCACAGGCAGTCACACACACCGTCACAGGCAGACAGGTACACACAGTCACAGGCAGTCACACACACACAGTTACAGGCATGCAGTCACACACACATACACACAGTCACAGGCAGACAGTCCCACACACACTTATAGGTAGACAGATACACACACACATTCAGTTAGGGACAGTCACACACACAGTTACATGCAGACAGTTACAGGCAGCATCACACAGTTAGGGGCAGTCACACACAGTTACATGCAGACAGTCACACACACACACACACACACAGTTAAAGGCAGCATCACACAGTCACAGGTATACTGTCACACACAGTCACAGGCAGTCATACACACAGTTACAGGCATGCAGTCACACAGTCAAAGGCATACTGTCACACACAGTCACAGGCAGTCATACACACACAGTTACAGGCATGCAGTCACACAGTCAAAGGCATACTGTCACACACAGTCACAGGCAGTCTCACACACAGTTACAGGCATGCAGTCACACACACATACACACAGTTACAGGCAGACAGTTACACACACAGTTACAGGCATGCAGCCACACACACATACACACAGTTACAGGCAGACAGTTACACACATACACACAGTTACAGGCATGCAGTCACACACACAGTTACACACATACACACAGTTACAGGCAGCATTGCACAGTCACAGGCAGACAGTCCACACACACTTATAGGTAGACAGTTACACACACACAGTCAGTTAGGGACAGTTACAGGCAGCATCACACAGTCAGGGGCAGTCACACACACAGTTACATGCAGACAGTCACACACAAACACAGTTACAGGCAGCATCACACAGTCACAGGCAGACTGTCACATACAGTCACAGGCAGACAGGTACACACAGTCACAGACTATCACACACACACAGTTACAGGCATGCAGTCACACACATACACACAGGGATTCATTCTTGCTGCACCTCCAAATGGATAGCCACAGAAAGTCTGGGCGGGGTTAAAAGGGGGGGCTTGCAGAAGATGCAGACAAGAGATCTGTAGTTTTTTACAAGCTGTTTATAGATAGCCCCCCAATTAAATAAATGCATACAGGTACATGTTTTCATTGGGTTTGCATTTACTAAACTTTCATTTTGATTTGAAAAATATATATTTTTTTCATTTGTCCCTTTAACGGGTACCTATTCTATTGTATAGAAACTGGTGACTGGTCTGCCCTTGTCCATAGGAATAGCTTAGATGTGTTTCTCCAAATTCTTTCATTCTAGTGGGTTTTTGCAGGTTCTTAATTGTGTGAAACAGGGTCCCCCCCAAAGGGGTCAATGGTATGTGGTGGGTAGTAGTAGGGTACAAGGTCCTGGGAACCATTAAAGGGACACTGTAGTCACTATAACCACTTTGTCTCTTTGAATTGGTTATAGTGCCTGGAGTGGCCTGGCACTGTCCCTCCATTCAGTGTTGCACCATGTTTGTGCAGTATGCCACAAAATAAGAGTCCCTGGCCACCCACAGTCCGGCCCCTTCTGTATGTGTAGCTAAGGCAGAGATTACACACTTCCTTGTTGTCATACCCATTCATACCGTCAGTTGGAGCTCTGACAGGTTAAAAGCAGTCAGCTGGCACACTCAGCCAATCACAGCTGCCCATTGCCTCTCAGGGTAATACTTCCTTATTAGCCGAAGCAGCACAGAGGGGATAGACTGCCGTGGACTCTTGTTTAGCATTAAAACATTACAACATTAAAAACTGTTTAATGCTGAAAGAAATTATGGTACCAGGGGACTCCAGACACCATGACCAGTTTAATGAGATGAAGCAGATACAGTGCCCACGGTGTCCCTTTAACAGTGTTTAAAGGAACACTACAAGCAACTACTACCAACCACTGCACCCCAATGTGGAGGTTAAAGTGTCATGAGTGGCATGGCGTCACCCCAGTGTAATTTGTAAAATCATTTTAGAATGTACCTTTGTTCTGCAGGGGGCTGTAGTGGTTATGGTCCTGGGAGTGTGTCTTTAACAGCATTTAGCTATAGGCTCTGCTGTAAAGCATGGATCTAATTTCTCTACCATCTGCCTTGGACATTTAGGCAGTTGAATCGCAATGAGGAGGTTTCTACATCATTTCCTGACCCTGCTTTCTAATCTAGATTCACGTTGCCCAAAAGCGATGTCAAGTGGTCATCCAGCTAGGCTACATATTAATATCAGAGGTCGGAATAAGATCATGTTTCAGGTTAACGTTTAAAACCCTTCTGGCGAACAGAACCCCTCCACAGGCTTTTGGAGGAGCCTGCTTGCCAGCCTCCTGCCCCAGGACTATGGCCCCTGCAATAAACCTGGCTAAAATACTTTAAAAAGACTTTGTTCGTGCAATTGGAATTACAGTGGGACCTCGGTTTACAAACGCCTCGGTTAACATAATTTTCGGTTTACAAATGAAAATCCATTGAAAATAATGCCCCGGTTTACAAACTTTTTTAGCAATACAAAGCAAGTTTCCCCAGGATGCATTGCACCTGGGAGGTTTATAGCACCGCTGACTGCATGCTGGAGCCTGTGAGTAGCACGTGGCGTCGAGTGTGGAGGTGTTGGAGCGGCTTTTGCATCGAGTTTTTGAGCCATTCTGGAAATTGTTTGCAGTTGTTTTGTGACTTTTTGGTGCATTTCTCAAGCTGTGGAAAGGTAGAGAGCTGAGCTTTGTAGTTTTCATGCCTTTTATTGTGTTCTGCATTGTGGGTTGGTTTCGATGCCAGCTTATTTTTACTTTTTTCTGACCTCCAGAACGGATTAATTGGTTTTCAATACATTCCAATGGGAAACTGTGTTTCGGTTTACAGATTTTTCACAATAAGAAACGTCCCAGAGAACGCATTAAATTCATAAACCGAGGTCCCACTGTATATGGTTCAGTTCCCGAACAGCCGCACAAACCAGAGACCGACCGGGAGCTTGTTAAACCCTATTAACACTTAGTAACGATTCAAACTGCATTGTTCTAATTGTCTGTTTGGTTGGCCGCTCTTCGCATGAACGACCATGAGGTGGCGGCCATCTTGTTCGCATGAACACAGGCAGCAGTATTTGGTTAACGAGTTCCTGGAACTAAAATCGGACACAGAAACTCCCGAACACCGCTGGACTTCCATCATTGCCTGCGTTTGGTTCTATACAATTTGGAAGGGCACTGTTCGGTGAAATCGTTCGTCTGGATGAGGGGAACAAGCTCCAGGGTAAGAACATGGACTATGTCCGGTAGTTTGTTCGATTTTAAACTACCGAACTAGACTGACCGCAGGCTCTGATTCTCTGGAACTGTTTTGGGAATAGGACCATGCGTGCGGTCGGTCAAATAAATGACTTCCAGGAAATTTCTGAACCCCTGAACCGATCTGGGTGAATTTTGGATATGTTGGTCAGCCAGATCGGGGCCATCAGGGGATGTAACTTTTGTGGGGGTTTTGTATGTTTAAATGTATTTTGGGGGTTTTATAAAAATGTGTGTTCTTGTGTCTGGAGATAATTGAGTTAATACAGTACTTGACTCAATTATCACCCAGGTACAGAGGAGGGATTGACCTAGTTTTTATGACATTGTGATGGCCAATGTGATGGTGTCTGGTGGAGTGCTGGAAATACTTGTGAGCACAAGGAGCATCGACTGGAGGAGGTACCCGTCACAACCCTTTTTTAAACATCAGAGATACATGTTCTACAAAGCGTGCAACAGCAAAAACTTTAGGAAAACATTAAAAATATCACAAGACGTTAAAGAATTGCAAACCAGATGGTAACGCAGGTATTTTATCTTTACCGTAAAAGATAAAAACAAAGTAAATAAAAGTTAATAACTGATATTACTCTATCAATCAGAAACACTGGCCAGAAATGATCCAGTAACACAAAATACACACAGCGCGTATTGTATAATATTCAGCTTAATCAGAAAGAAATAACAGCAATGCTACTGTAACTGGATGGAGTCTCTGAGAGTAGTGTCCAAATGGCCACCATTTTGAATTGAAATCCCACAGCTATTCAAATACAAACACTACAATATCATCTCTTACTAGGTGGCATTACATATTCAAATATTTACACAAAGCTTTCTGTATTTTTATACTTAAAGGAACACGATAGTCACTAGAACCACTACAGCTTAATGTAGTGGTTCTGGTGTCTATTGCCTGTCCCTGCAGGCCAAGCACTGTAAACGCTACCTTTTCAGTTTACTTTGCTGCCTAATAACACCTCTAGTGACAGCCACTAGAGGTGCTTCCTGGGTCAATGATGCACAATGTGCAGCACCCACGTTCAGCCGCTGAACGCTCCCCATGAAGATGTATTGATTAAATTAATCTATGTGAGGAGATGCTGGTTGGCACAGTGTGTCATTTTGCTGCACATGCGCAATAGCCTCCTTGTGCTTTCCTGTGAGTTTAGGATTGATGATCTCAGCCATGGAGGTTGGGCCAGCTGCGGAGTGACCAGTGCGGCAATGGAGAAAAAGTAAGTAAAATGCCTTTTTACTCCTCTCTAAGGGAGGCCAGGGACCTAAGCTGCTACTCCAGCACTATAGTGTCCCTTTAAATTGTACTTTATCTG